AAAATGTGATTTTGTCGGAGAGATGTGATTCCATTGTTTTATGTTATTTTTATGACATATAGCTGTATGTTCAAACATACACACGCACTATATATATATATATATATATATATATATATATATATGCTTGTTTGTTTTTAAAGCTATTAATTACCACCTAACACAGGTTTTTTAAAAATAATTTTACCTTTTGGTTTATTATGATTTTAATGATATTTCAGTTTCTTTGACTTTTCAGTTGTTATGGGAAAGGAAATGTGACCTTACATAAATCACACAAACAAAAATGAATCATGATGGAAGAGGATTGCAGTGTATTTATTGAAAGAATTTTTTCATTTTAAATCAAAGAACATTGGACAAATTCTTATGTGCATGGAACTTTGATTCAGGGGGTTGTTTTCTGTGCTGAAGAGTCAAATTGACTTTTAAGTCATTGTACTGTGGACTTCCAATGTATCAGAATTCTGGAGAGGTGGGATGGAAGGGATGCTTTTGCAAATGATTTAAAACCATCATGTCTGCTTTGCTTAGCAGATTTCTTTTTCAGAAACCCAGGAAGTGACAACTTTTCTTTAAAATGGGTAATACTGTATGGTGACTAACATAACATAATAAAAAAATAAAGTTTTATTTACTTGTTTTAAACATTCAGTTTTTTAAAAAAGAGATAATTACAATAAAAAGATTTTTTTCCAAGGTTTTGTGTTGAGCTGCAATGCTTTTGAATTTCATTTCCTTCTTTTGGTAGGCTGTATCTCTCCTTTCTAGTAGATGATGATGCTATTATTGGCATCAGGTAAAGTCTGGATGAACAGTTTGATATACAAGCCATAGACTTTCCCCAAAAGGTTGTCATTGGCATTGGTCTACATGGCCAAGCTGTGTTAGGACTCCAGTTGAACATATTATGGGCCTGGTGACTGGCTGCATTCTAGGAATTCTGCATTTGGTTTTGCTGGAACACAGCAGGCATTGTTGCTGAAGGGGTGTAGGCAGAGCTGGATGTAGAGCCTGTAGGGATTGGCTGGAAAGATCTCTTCTCTCCCAGCTCTGTGACATCGTCAGCCAGCCTCCAGGAAAGCCTGGATAGCTCCCCAGTTTTTAATTTTCTCAGGGTTCCAGAGCTAGGAGTATGCATGTGTATTTCTCGTTCAGGAAAACCCAGGACGTCACAATCCATATGTAGAAGAGTTAGGTAGATAATTATTCTCTGGCACCTTCCAGAATGGTCTGAGAAACATCTCCAAGGTCTAGAGAAACCAAAGGATTAGAGCACAGGAGATATTATCTGCTCTTGTTTGTTTTAGCTAAAGAGGAAGGCAGGCAGAGGAAGACATAGTTGGTGGGGTAAATGGTATCACTGAATAAGATCCAGTTTTTAAGTGAGATACAGCTTGGAAAGGCTGAAGATGGTCAGCTGACCGAGGTTGGAGAGTACCTCCAGATACCTCAGGAAAAGGAGGTCATCCAGTTGTTTACTAAAAGTTCTTTCTCACATGAATGAAGGGGGAAGGAGGAAAACAGGCAGGCCTTTTGGTCACTCATTGTGCACTGGTTCACTGTGCACTGGTCACTACTGTGCACTGGCTCCTGGGAGCACATGAGGAGAGGAAAGGCAGTCAGGAACTTGACTCTTACCCTTTGTACTAGTGTGATAATAATGAATAAATGAATGCTACCTAACATTTATTGAACCAGGCTCTTTAGCACTTCTGATACCTTAATCGATCTAATATTTACCAACCACCTGATGAAGTGGGCCCCAAGGTGATCCTTTTTTAGAAAGTGCCTTTTTTAGTTGAGAAGATAGGCAGAGAGAGGATCAACACCTTGCCTGTGGTCATCGGGTTGGTCAGAGCAGAGTTGAGTTTGGTGGCAGCATCTGACGTGAGAGCCCATGCACTTATCCTCTGTGTGATATGTGGCTTGATGATCATGGGATGGCCTGGGCATAGCATGAACAGAATGTGACCAGGTGAAAGAATGATCAGCGTCTGCACTCGGTGCCCTGGAAATGGGTAATAAACAAGGACACATGTGCTTGTAACACTGTGAAGTGGGTGAAGCTTCATCTCCCAAGAATGTAGCCCTTCTTGTGTTCATCAGTGGAATCCTCACTGGTGGCCCAGGAAGGTTGAAGCCTGAGAGAGAAGTATCCTGTATGGTAGGGAAGGATGGATATAGTCATACACCATGTCAACTTGGGGAGCTCAGATTCAGAAGGTTTCAAAGAAGATCACTTATAAACCCATGATCTAAGGGCTCAGAAGTGTTGGAGAGTCTGGGATCAAAATGAGGTCCTTTCAATAGGAAGACCATGGTGGGGGTACTGAACGATGTCTGTGTGGCTCAGGGGGTTTCTTGCTAAGCTCAGACTGAAAAAAATCCAAGGAAGACAAGAGAACCCTTCTCAAGACACACACAACAGACTGATGAGGACGAGCAGATCGTGTCAGGGGGTGAGAGCACAGAATGAACTGAGGCTATTGAGGAGAGTGGAGGGACAGCAAAGGGTCCCTTACTATTGCATGGGAGCAGGGAGAACAAGGGCTGCATAGATTCACTTGAACGTCTGGCAGAGAACCATCCTCCAGTTGCAAAAGGTATTGGAAGGACCACATAGGAAGAAGGAAGAAGCAGCAAGGCAGCACAAGCAGCTGTGCATGTGGTCTCCTGACCCAGAACTCACAGTCAGGGCATGATGTGACCCCAGAGATGACATCATGCCTCTGTACAGGTCATCTGGGAGGTGGATCACAGGATAGGTGCGTGAATCCTGGAGTTGGATGAGACCCAGGGTCCGATATTGACCCTGGGCAAGGGCCTGTGAGCCATTTGACAGGAAGAGATGAGCATCAGGAGCTGGCACAGGCTCACTGGGAGACAGGCCACATCAGACACACATCATTTTCCTCTTTGAGAAGCTTCTATCTGGCAATGTCACAGAGTGGACTGGTTAGATGGAGCCTCAGCCAGTGTTGTAGGACGTGGTTTGTACTTAGCTGAGTAACCTTAGCCCAGCAAGGCTGATGCATGAGAAAGAGGTGACCCTCAGGGAGCTTGGTCATGCCAAAGGTCCCCAGCCAGTTCAGTACCCTTGTCTCCTCCTTTTCTTCTTCTTCTGCTCCTCAATATTATCATTATTATTATTATTTTATATTATTTCCTTTTCTTTCTCCTCCTAATAATGGTCCCATTATTATTATTAAGATTTGAATAATAAAATTGATGGAGCATGAAATTGGATGGATATCTAATACAGTGATTGACAGAATTCAGACCCACAGTGGTCTCAGGAAGCTGGAAGGCAGCACTGCACTCAGCAGTGTGGCATTTGGCAGGTTGGAGATGAATGCACTTGGGTTGAACCATGCAGCTTCCCTCATGTGGTTATGGTGAAAATGCCATGCAATAAGGCATATGAAGCCTCTGGTGTCTCTGGCATGTGTTCACCTACATACTCAACAAACAGTCACTGCTATGTTTACGTGATGAAGCATCTCTGGCAGTAAATATTTCATTCCGCAGTAAGATCCCATGTTTCGAATCTGAATGCTGAAAGCAGAGTTGTCACGTCTGTGGCTCAGGGCACTCTGGGCACTTCTGATGATTGGGTCTATGCAGCTGCGATTGGCTGAGGTTTCCCAAGCTGAGAAGGCAGCCCAGTGGGCTTGTATGCAGAGGGGTGCGGGGTGCAGCCCAGCCCGCTGTAGCATGGGTGGACATGGGAGGACAGTAGCATGGGTGCCTGTCCAGGCTTGGGAAAGACATCATGTCATTCTAAATTGTCATCTGGAGGGTTGTCTGAGGCATATCTGGGGGGAGAAAGATGAATTGGGGGGAATGTGTGTGTGTGTGTGAGTGTATGTGTATGTCTGAGTGTGTACAGGTGAGTGTATGTATGTGCGTATATGTGTTTGTTTTTCTGAGTGTATGTGTCTTTGAGTGTGTGTGTGTGTGCATGTGAGTCTAGTTCAGCCAGTGCTGCTCACCAGTGGGGGGGATGCTTGAAGATGGGTGTTCTAGCTTCAAGAACTGGCTGGTGGAGTTGATTAGGGAAGGGCAGGGAGGAAAGCCTCCCCAGCAGGGCTGATGGTCCTCTCTCGTCCTCATGGCCATGAATGACTTTCCTCCAAGCCTTGAGCACCTCCAGGGCAAAGTGGAGGCTGGTCTGCCTGAGTAGGCCCAGGAGACTGGCCCAAGAGGACAGCTGAAAGGTGAGCAGAGGAGAAGGAAATGGATTAATGTCTGAGGAGAACTAAGTGTGGGCACTCTGGCGAGTGGATACGGGGTAGACCCACGCTTGCTCCAGGGCCAGGGCCAGGTGGAGAAGAAGTGGCTGTCCCCCAAGAGTGGGATCAGGGCCCAAACCCACACCGGCATGCCCGGGCATTTTATTGTTCAGCCTTTACCCTCTGGCCACGTGTGCTGCAGGAGCTCCATTCAGTGTCCTGCCACGTCTGATGGTGTGGAAGGAAAATGGACACACTGAGCAGCAAGACTGCTCTAAAAAATTGAAAGCTTTTCATAAATCAGGGTGTAAACACGTTAGATTTGTCAGCTGGGTCAGAACTGCCCGGTGGTTGACACCTTGTGTTCTGTGCGAACACAGCAGCTGCTGCCTGGATGCTGGCAGGTGCGGGTCAGTGCTGAGCCCGGTCCCTGAGGGGCAGGGCCCGTGGTGTGGTCCTTCCTCCCTGAGGAGGGAGTCCTGGAGGTGAAAGCAGGTGGCACAGCGTTCTGAGTAAGGGTGAGCGGCTGCATCTGCAGCAATCAGGCTTCTTTGGATGCAGACGACAAAGATGAAGAGCGCATGTCTCACCGCTGTCGCTTCCTCTCTGTGCAGAGTCCTGTGGTCCAAGCGTGGCTGGCGCAGCCAAGGGGAGCTCTCCAGTCTCAGGGCTCCTCCCTGGGCCAAGCCCTCCAGAACACCAGCGCCCCTGAAGACTGACAGCTGTTGCGGTCTCCACCTTCGTCAGCCAGCTCACACCCTGCTGGTGAACATGGCTGCTGGGAAGGGTGCTGTGTGGAGCTCTTCGGCTGAAAACAGATGGCGGCTTAGTGAAGCTGACCAGGGCAAGGATTGCAAGCCAGTGCTGCTGGAGAAAACCAACCACCTGGACTCTGAGGCTGCCCCAGGCAGTGGGGGTCAGCATGAGGCCTGTGCTGAGCTGGTGCCATTAGCCACCCCAGGCAGACTCAGACTGGGAAGGCCAACGTCGCAGAAGGTATGCTGGGAACAGGGGCAGAGCGCCTTCACGGAGGTACCTCGGCTCAAAAAGAGGCTGGTGGGTGCGCAAGCCAAGGAGAAGGAGCATGATAATCCCACAGGCCAGCGTGGTCCCCAGCAGCTGACCCAGGATATCCCCAGGGATCCGGCTGGCAGCCTGTGGCCCAGCGGAGCCCGAGGGGAACAGAGAAGTGCCTTCAGCAAACCAGCCAGGTGTCCCACAGGGAGACCGGGACCACCCTCTATATTCCAGGCAGGTGGACCGGCAGACGTCCTTGGGGAGCTGTTGGGACTCATCAACACGGTAGATGTCCCTTGTTGGGGTCAAGTTTCAAATTCTAAGTTTTTGGTGGGTGATTTCTGGCACCTGCAAATGTTGCCACAAAATGCTCCTGTCTATAGTGCTTTAGTGGGTGCCCCCACACTGTGGCGAAAGCATGCCATGGGCCAGATGCCCATGCCCTCATCGTCCTCCTCCTCTGCCTCTTGGGCTCTGCTGCCACCCACGTTCACATCCCTGGGCCTGTCCACCCAGAACTGGTGCGCAAAGTGCAACCTGTCCTTTCGCCTGACCTCTGACCTGGTCTTTCACATGCGGTCCCACCACAAAAAGGAGCACGCAAGGCCTGACCTACATTCTAAGAAGCTGAGAGAAGAGGCCCTCACATGTCCCATTTGCCATGAATACTTCCAGGAGCGCCACCACCTGTCTCGGCACATGACTTCTCACAGTTAGCTAGTGTCTGTGGAGCAAACCTGTAGGGGCATCTTCTAAGCTTTGGCAAGGAACCAGAGATGGCTCACGGGTGTTTCCTTTGGAAAGGCTGGTCAGACTTGTCAGCAGGACCATCTGCATTGGAGTTTGTAGATGAATAGCTTGGTCATCATTTGAAAAAGAGAATCCTCAGCTCTGATGTGTTTTGATCGAAATAAAGTCATGCAATAAAATGATATGCTTTGTAAACCTGGGGCATTGGGACTGTGAGGCACAACATGGAGGTCCTGTTTCTGTCACCTTTCTGTTTGTTCCATGTGGAGGCAAGTTTGGGCTTTGGAGGCAGACAAACCTGGATTCAAAGCTTTCACATATTAGCCCTGACCTTGGACACATTGCTTTAACCAAGTTAAAGCCCCAGTATTCTTATCTGTAAATGCAGAGGGTGAACACCTGTGTCTTAGGGCTGTTGTCAGGGTTATGTGGGAAGGTGTGTGGAAATAGCTTGCATGACACTTGGCGCAGTGTGATCACTAAGTAAATGATATTTATTATTGTCCAGATCGGTCAGCTGTTGTTAAATAACAAAATCTCATTGGCAAACAACTTAAAGCATCTATTTCTCACTTGAGGGTCTATGGGTTGGCAGGGTTGAGTTGGTCTTGGCTAGGCTTGGCTCCAGGTCACAAATCATCTCTAAGTTCATATGTTTTACTCTAGTACTGATGGGCTTCTCAGGTAATACTTCTCTCATGTTTATGCCAAGAACCCAAGAAGGAAAATCCAAATACAGAAGCACACCTCAAGTCTCTGCTTGAGTCACTTTTTCCTTTTTTTTTTTTTTTTTTTGAGAGAGAGAAAGAATTCGAGAGTATGGAGGGCGGGGCAGAGAGATAGGATCTTAAACAGGTTCCATGCTCAGCATGGAGGCAGACATGGGACTGGATCTCAAGACCCTGAGATCAAGACCTGAGCCGAAACCAAGAGTCAGACGTTTGACCATTGCCTGAGCCATCTCGGCATCCCTTGGGTTACTTCTACGTATATCCTCTCAGCCAAAGCAAGTCAATGGCCAGGCCCAAAGTAAATGGGTGATATGTGCGTGCTGCCCACAGTGAAGCCATGATGAGGGGGCAGATGTGAAATCCTACCGAAGGGGCATGAAGAATTGGGACCAGTAATTCAACCAACACTCGCTCCATGGTTCTTCACATTCTAAATATGTGAATTCAGACCCACACACCCCTTAGCTCTCAGGAAGTGATCATGTACAACAGTTTAGGCTTAAAACCTTGTGGGAATTAAGAAAACTCTGGCTACCAGAACCTACTGCATATTGTGTTTCTCTCAGTAACTGTTGTTTATCTGCCTTTGTCCTTGTAAACCTCAGTCCTAAACTCTGATGTAACTCAGGCCAGTCTGTGTGTAAGGCCATCAGCTGGGAGTTCTTTTGAGTCAGTGAGTTCTTTTGACTGGTTTCCACTTCCCTTTGAGGACATGTTCATTTGATCTGCAATTTTCAACCCTCTGGTGGGGCCACCCATGCAGAGCTCAGGCTGTGGTTGGGAAACTGCTGCTGGGGCATCTCAGCGGCCAGTGATCCACCCACACAGCCCCCAAACCTGACCTTTTCTCTCTCTTTCCATGTGTCCACCTGGTGCAGGCAGCAGCTCTTCCCACCTGGCCCACCCGACCCCCATTCCCTTGACTCTCTCTCCCCTCCCGTTCCACCCACACACCCCTCTATTCTCCACCCAGAACCAGCCATTTATTCACTCATTTATTGATCTCCCCAGGCACCCCTGCTGTGTCATGGTCGGTGCCAGTCCCCAGGGGAGACACCTGAATTCGGCCCATGGTCCTTGTTCAGGGTCTGCAACCTAGCGTATGGCGTGACAGATGCCAAACAGAGGTCTGTGTGGGGTGCCGGGCACATGGGAGCAGGCTCACACCAGACTTGTGGGAGGGGAGGGCGGGGCTCCCAGAGGCTCCTGAGGAGTGGGGGCAAGAGCAGATTGTGGAAGTTCAGCAGGTGCTGGAGGTTTAGATGGAAGGCGATGGATAGGGTTGGGGGGGCACCATAGCTACAGATGCTCTAGGATACTACAAGGTCTGTGTGAGAACCGAGTGAGATGGAGATGGAGGAAGGCCTCCAAGGACAGGAGTTTGGCCCAGAGCACAGGACTGCTGGCTCTGAGAGGCACTTTGGGGACTCCTCTGGCTGCAGGGGAAAGGGTGGTCTGGAGGAGAGGAGAGGACCTCCTGAAGGAGCCTCCGCATCTGGAAGGAGCCAGCGGTGCTTCCTGCTGGCACCAACGGAGCACTTCCATTCTTGCAGGCTCCCTTCACTGAGAGAAACAAGGGACGCTCTGTAGGATGGTTCCTTTCCCCACAGAAGGGGGCTGAAGCTTCAGGGAGCCTCCTTCCTCTGCCATCCCATGTGGGTAAGAAAAGGCGCCCCCTGGAGTGTGAACCTGAGGCTCCGCATGACACAGGGACATACATCATTGAATCTGCATGACACACGTGGGAGGTAGGCCTTTAATTCCCGTATTACTGCAGAAGGAACTAAGCTCCAAGAGGTTAAGCGTCTCTTCTAAGATCATAGGTTCAGGAGAAATGGTGCAAGAATACCGTCCCAGGACCACCGAGTTCTGAGCTCACATCCTTCCCAGCCTGCCATGCGTCTGTTCAGCATGTGGTTATGTGGCATCATGGATGGTTTACAAATAGGATTAAAGGTCAGATACTAGCCCCTTCTAAAATTTCACCTTGCACCCTGCATACACGCCCACATTTCCTATCACCCTTTCCTTGAACACTTTTCTATTATCTTGTACGCTACATGAGTTTACCAATTTGTCTTATTTACAGTGTCTCTCCCATTACTGGATCATAAGCTCTATGAGGGATTTTTGGCTTTGTTCACTTTTGTATCTGCAGCAGGAAGAACAATGTAGGAACATAGTAGATGTTCAACAGACATTTGTTGAATGAATGAATGAATGGATTAATGAATGAGATGCCTGATTCCAGTCTCACCCTTGACAAACCTGGAGTCAGCTGCTCATAAATGTTTTGACAACTGTCAGATTATGGGCACTGTTGTCCCCTTCTGGCTTATTGGATTGGTCCATATTTCTGTGAAATCACGTTGAAAGGCACAAGTGCACTACACTAAAGCAGAATCAAAATTTGGAATGGAAAGGGACTCTAGAGCTCTCCTGCATCCTCTCACTTTATAGCAGTGAGCACTGAGGTCCACTGATGAGCAGACCTGCAAAGTGAGGCAGGGTAAGCAGTGGGGAGGTCAAGGCTGGTACCCCTGAAATGTCAGCCTGGGCATCTTCTGTGACCTGCCCGCATGCCTCTAAGCACATTGGTTATAGCCACACGCAGAATTACTACTAACAGTGACCCTGTCATTTTAAAGCAAGGGAGGCATTTTGAAAAATATTAAAGCTAACCAAATAAAAGTTATGAAGAAACATAACGGAACATCTTCCCCCAACTTTATAAGATGCAGTCTGTTTTAATAAAAAGTAATGGACACGCAAGTTGCTTTGCAGCCATTGAAATTGACAAACTCCAAAATGACTTGTGGAGATGATGACTTACAGTTTATGAATGTGGCAGCTCCTACTTGTCACCAGGCTGGGCCCAAAGTCCCTTTAGCAGTCAAATCCTGTCTCATCCCTTCTTCTCTCCTGCCCTTCCAGAGTAGTCACTCTGAATCATGACTTTGTTTAAGCTCCCTCTGCCACCTTCCATACTAGTTAAGAGTTGGCTGGTGATGTTGCCACAAAACATCACATCAGCAGATGAGAACTTTCTTCTTTAAGTCTGGGGTAAGAATGACAACATTCCTTAAATTCTCTATGTCTAATTTAAACTGCTTTGCATCCCAATCCTGTGGTTCTGTTAAGATATACAGTTCGTCATTTTCAAATTCCTCCCCTGTCTTTCAAGTTCACAGAAAGTTCCCCCAATGTGCCCCACCTAGGATGGCGGCCTCCCTGAGTGTCACATGGTCTCCCCATGGGGCACTGGTATCTTTGTCCCTGTCTTCCAATGTGTTCAGACTCCTCCCCTCTTCCAGGATCTTGGGTCTTGGCTCTTTTCTGGCCATGTTGTCATTCGTGATGTCACACAGAAACCACCGAGTCAATGAACAGAAAGGCTTGGCTAATTTCTTGGAAGAGGCGAGGGAAAATACCTTCTGGTGGTTGGGACAGTGGCAATGTGTATCTTAATCTCCCAAGAAGCAGCCATTCAGTTAAGAAGCAACACAAAATGTGCTAATGAGGAATTCTGAATTCAGGTCGATTTTAGTTCTCAGTTGTAACCAAAATCTGCTTTATACCTCCCTGCTTTTATCTGGAGAAGTAAAACCTTAACAAGGCTGGGATCCTAGATTTCAACCTCTGGCCAGTTCCTGAATCTTAGATTGTAAAGACAGGGTATCCTACTCAAATGACTCTATAATTAGATTAATGAACATGAGTGAAGTCCCCTGGGATTAGGGAAGGGGAGGGAAGAAGAGGGAGGGTGGGTCTGACACCTAGAATTCCTGTGTCCTGGGTGAAGGAAAGCTCTTTGGTGCCAGGATGAATGCAGGCCTCAAGAAAGGCTAGAAATAAGTACTATATGTGAAATTAGTGATTCAGTTGGTTTTTGAAAGCTGATGGCCAGAATAACATGGACTTAAGGAAGCACATTCGTGGTGGTGGTGATGGGGAGGGAGAGGAATGGCCGTCTGGAGACCCCTGACTATTATGTATCCAGACTTGGAAGAAGCTGGGTGCTGGGCCCAGTCCTGCTAACCTCACACAAACCACCCTATTCTTCTGAGCAGAAGAAAAGAACCTCCGGCTGACACTCACTAGTTGTTCTAAGGTGAACCAGACATCCTCCCTTTTCTTGAAAGGTGCTGGCGCCCCCTGGAGGCAGCGTGCCTCCCCAGCAGTCCACTTATCTTCGGAGAGGGTTTTATATATCCTGGTTAATTGCATAGCTTTGTTTTTGTTTTTTGTAGTAGAAGTCATGAGAAAGGACTAAATATCATATTGTAAGAGATAAATCCCATAGAAAAATGTTTGGTTTTTCAAAATAAATTATTCTTCACAGTGTTTTGATTTGTGCCACTTCCCAGGAGAGAATTTCCAGAAACCAATTTTGAATGGAGGTTGGGAGGCAGTACATTCTGGGAGGAGGGTTGGGGTTCCTTAAATTTAACATTTTCTTCCCTGGCTGTCTTGTATTTTCCTGGGGGAGGGAGACAGGAAGCCAGGGGCCTCTGATACCCTTGCGATTCTAAGCTGCTTGGATTAGCAAGCTATTTTCACTGCCAGCTGTCCTCATCAGCAAAGGAGGTCCTCAGGCCAGGTGGCGGCTAATCCTATAGGACCGAGGAGGCAAGAGATGGGCGCCCTCCAGTGGGGGTCTCCTAGGCAGGTTTCTTGGCCCACAAGTGTTTTTTTCTGAGCCATGTCCTCTCATTGCATTAAAGGTGTTATATGCAAACAACGAATCATGGAACACTAATTACATCAAAAACTAATGATGTGCTGTATGATGATGAATGTGACACAATAAAAAGATAAATAAAAGTGTGTGGATAACCAAGGCCCTCACTGACATGCAAACATGGCCATTGGCTGTGTTGGGCTGTGTGGGGAGACGCAGAGACATAGCAAGAAGGACGGCAAGATGGAAAAAGGTCTGGGGTCCTTCGCTCTGATGCTCCAATGTGGTCCCTGGCTCCTGCTGGACTGGAGGCTTCAGACAAGTCTCCAGCAAGGATCTGGACGGTGAAGGTCCAGCCTGTCTGTGGGCTGGGGTTACCTTGGGAAATGGGGAGGACGGGTTGGCCCAGCCACTGCAGGTCAGTGGGTGCCTTGGTGGGGGTTAGTTCTTAAGCAGGGGGAGACCTGAGAAGGTTTCATGTCAGAGCTATAGCCCTGACTGCAGGCTGAGCCACAGAAATGTGGGTAGGAGTCTGTGGTGGGGATTTAAGAACCAAGCCAGGACCCCAAAACAAGGGAGAGGGAATGGCAGGTGGGCCCAGGGCAGAGTGCTATTAACTAAGACAACTCATCATCCTGGTGACTGTGTGGACACAGTGGGGTTGGGGTAGAGAGCAGGCAGTTTGGGTTAGTTCTCAGATCTCTGCCCTAATCTCAGGAGGGAGGTGTGGCTGTGCACAAGACAGGGTCTTGGGGACAGGAGCAGGCCTTAGCCAAGCAAGGTGAGAGAAGGTAGAGGTGATGAGCTCATACTGGGACATCAAGAGCTCAAGAGGCCCGTAGTCTTTTGGAGCAGAGGCTCCTAGGCAGCTGGGGGTCACATGGCTCTCCCACTGGAAGAGAGGCCTAGTGGGATTTTGTTTTCCTTTTCCTATTTCTTGAGTCTTCTGTCTCCAAGTGGGTAACAATGCAAGAAAACCGGCTCAGGAACACTGACGCTTTCTCTTTGGTCTGAACAGGACCCTTTTGGTCCACTTCTCCCACTTTAGTCCCTCTTTCCAGACCAGGCCCAGGGCCTCTTCATGATATGGTAGAAACAGCAGGGTTTTTGGAGCCAGGCAGGTGTGGGTTCAAAGCTCACCTATCCCCTAGCCTAGCTTCACCAGACAGAGCAGTTCGTTGTTAAAAAAAAAAAAAAAAAAAAAAAAAAAAAGTCTGTGGTTGATGGAAGCAGAAAAAGAGGTCTTGAGAGGAGCCTGGCCTGCACCCAGTTTTGGAGAGCCATGCTGAGGGCTCGGGGAGGACAATGGGCAGGAAAAATGAACTACTCAGCAGGACCTCAGCCATGGTCAGGCAGGGGACCGCCTCTGGAAAACGTTTCTCTCATTCCTGTTGAGTGGGGATATATCTCCGCTGCCCTGCACACTGGGCATCTGGCCACAGCTGCTGCCCAGCTCTCCCTTGCTTAAACATTCAACTTGCTTAGACTGATGGAATATTCTGCATAGGAACCTCTCTGATTGGCCCAGGAAAGACCTTGTATCTATACCCTGCTGGCCAGGGAGCCGGGAAAGTGAACTTCTGCTGTGTCCAGCTTAATGGTGGGGAAGTGGTGTTAGATGGCATTGGCTGGACCCTGGATTGGTTCATTTCATCTTCATAGCCCCGAAGGTGCTATTATGCCTCTCATTGTACAGATGAGAAAACTGAGGCCCAGAGAAATGAAGCAAGTTGGCCAGGGTTACACAGCTAGGAAGTGGCTGGCCTGGCCTTTCCCCCAGGACAGGTTCAAGATGGAACCTGTCTTGAACCTGGGAACCTGGGCTCCCAAACACCTCACTGCTATTAGTGAGTCTGTTTCCCACAGGTTCATATGGGGAGCGATTCTCTGAACATTCAAAGGGGGTGCATATGTTGGGTGGCCTAAAGGAGGACACGTGTCCATTGTGCTACCCGTGTGACCTCCTGTGAATTATTGAGCTTAACTGAGTGTCACCTGACTCCTGCGGAAATGGTAAGAATGGTTGTCCAGTGCTCGCTTCGACAGCACATACACACAAATCACAATGATACAGAGATTAGCATGGCCCCTGTGCAAGGATGACATGCAAATTCGTGATGTGTTCCATTAAAAGAAATGGTTTTCCATGCACTGTGAAGCTTGGAAGAGAACTATTTATGTCATCTACCCTAAGAGCTACCCCATCCCTTCCCCTATTTAAGACCCATGGAGATGTGAGCCATTGGCAGACCCCCAGCACCTAGCCTGACACCTTAAACAAAATCAACTGTCAATAAATGTCAGTTGTGTAAATCAAGGAAATCCAAATGATGTCATAGGAAAACCCATGGAAAAAAATAAGCAATTACTAGTGATCACTAAGGCGTGGTTAGTGACTCAAGATGTAATCTGTTTTATTTATTTCATTTTTGGAATAATGACTGCTACGTTTGAAAATTATGATCTATGCTTAATTATAAGGATTTAAGAAAAAAAGAAAAGTATAAAGACATACACATTAAAATATTACCCCTGATTCTACCACCTAGAGGAACCATTGTTTGATTTAGGTGGTCCTCAGATAGCGTGTGTGGGGAGAGGTGAGAAGGAGGAGGGAGGAGAGAGAACCCCTAGAATAAAAGCATGTAGGGGCGTCACACATCTGCCCTGATATTAATAGGTCTAATGAAGAAAAAGGTGAGATCCCCGTATCCATGCTCCTGCTAATGTTCAGTCATGCACTTAACCTTATTTGAATTTAGCAGAAGGAAGAGGAACTGGAGTGCCTTCCATCAGAGCTTTCCTATTTAGACAGGGTTGGTTCAAGGTTTTCCAGGTGGCCATGTCCCTAGATATTGGTGGTGACCCACGGGTGTGCTCAGACTCCACAGCTCTCTGGGACCTGGGGAGGGGGCTATGAATTCAGGGTTGTGTAGTGAAGTCAGCTCAGTGCCCTGGGGGATGTCACCCATGGCAGCTCCAGGCTGGACTCACCAGATAGCAAGCCCAGATGACACGAGGACTTTATCCTCATTAGACATCTTGGAGCCCAGGCTCTGAGAGGACTAATGGGGCTATGGATGTCCCCACTATTCCAGCTTCATCTCTACCATGACTTTGGGCAGGTAGTAGAAGTGTCTTACTTTAGGGTCCCTGGTGATTCCCAGCAGAGTAAGATTGCTTGGATCCCAGGGCCTGCCAGGGGCCTTATTCCTCCAGGTTACCCCCAAGCTCCCCATCTCCTTCTGGAGCTTGCTTGGCCTTGGAAGAGGTCTTGAGGTCTGCCAGCTTCTCTTCCTGTTAGGAGTGCGTTTGGTCGCTGGAGTCAGCACAGTGATAGGTTGCACGAGGCCAAGAAGGGCAGGCACCCAGACTCCCACCCAGGGCCACTCTCCCCTCAAGTTGCAACTATGCATGGCACTAGAGCTCACTTTTTGGTCCCTGGCAGAAGCTGGAGAACAAGGCCATGGGAGGAACACGTGAACGGATGAGAGACTTGCCATATAGAATTGGGCTGGGAGGATTCTAAGTGAAACTGGACCTGTCTTCAAGTGTCTAAGGGCTGCCATCTGGAGGAAAACAGATTTGCTGCCAGATACTCATGTGTGTTTTTTGGGCATCAGGTGCTGTGCTAAGTAGGGGGCAGTAGGAGCCAGGGGTGAGTAGGCTGGTCGTGGCCCTGGAGAAGCATGATGGGGGACAGAAACAATCCCAGAGCATGGGGAAGGTACAGATGCAGGGAGAGCAGAGCGGGGACAATGTGCTGGGGAAGTGGGGGGGGGTCCCTGGCCTGTGGGCCTGCGCTGTCCCACAGGGGATCCCCCAGCTGGAGGCAGCCCCCGAGAACTGGGTGTATGTGTGTAAGGAAGGGAATATCCTGTGAGTGCAGACTACATACCAGCTTTCAAAGTCTCCCTGCAAAACATCTCATTCATGATAATGTTTATCCTGCCGAAATGACATTACTGTGGATATAGTCGCTTAAATAAATTACACTATGAAAATAAATATCACCTGTTTCTTTTTACTACTAGAAAATGACGAGAGGCGCATGTGCTGGTACCTGCGGCTCGTGTTGTAACTCTATTGGTTGGAGCTGCTCTGGACCAGGGGTCGGCCATTAAGAAGCAGGGGTGCGGGTGCCCCTGGACGTCACCTCCCCGAAATAACTACTATGGAGGGGGCTGCCTCTGAGGGGTGAGGTCCCTGTCCCTAGAGGCCCAAACAGAGATGTTGGCAGTGGTGAAGAGACCACTGGATGAACTCCAAGGGTGTCTCCAGCTCTAACTTTGCCAGAGTTCAGTAGCCCTCTTTGCTGCCCTTCGGGGCCTCAGGCAGGACCCCGAGCTGGAGAGCCCTTTGTCTGTGGCCCGGAAGTCCCGCCCACCCCGGGGCTCCGCCTAGCCCTCAGCAGAGTGTGCTGGAGCATCTCCTTGGCTCTGGTGAGGGCTGCCTCAGCAGGAACAGCCACGTGGGGCACCACGCCCACCCCTTCCCAGGAGCTTCCATCGGCAGCCCCCACTGAGCGGGCTGTGGGGATGGTGATGTAGAGATGGGTGTCGTCTACGTGGTAGGTTTGCGGTGGTTGGCAGCCACCACTGGTCACCTCCCCAATGACAAGTGCCCGGCCCAGCCTCTTCATGATGTAGGTAAATTCCTCCGCCGCGCCGGCCGTCAGGGCGCTGGTCAGAATGGCCACGTTCTTCTTGGAGCCGTAACGTTCACCTGGAAAATAGAAGGTCCTTCAAGATGGCGAGTACCAGTCAGCACCCGGGGGCACCTGCCTTCTCCATGCTGTCTGGACCAGCAGAGAGGAAGGCCTGGGATTTAGTTTTGTGGCCTCGTGTCCACGTGCAAATCACTCCTTCCTGATCCCCAGCTCTGCATCTGTAAAATGGAGATGAGAATGTGTGCCCCAGAAAAGGAGGTGCTTCCTCTTCATGAATAATGAGAATGCCCAACCTGACCAGTCTCACTTTTTACTCCAGAATCCAGGAAGAGCCAAACATGCAAATTCAGGGCAACAACTCTCTAGGACAGCGATGTCTGATAGAAATGTGACACGAGCCAAAATGTGAGACTCAGATGTCACTCTAAGTTTTCTAGGAGTCACTTTAAACAAGTGAAAAGAAACAGATGAAATGAATCCTAATAATGTTTTATTTAACTCAGTAGAACTTAAAAATGTAATCCACAAAAATTATTGAGATATTTTACATCCTTATTTTTCCATAAAAAGTCTTCCAAATCTGTTTTGCACTTTCCACTTTCCACATCTCAGTTCATATGAGCCCTGTTTCAATGCTCAGTGTGGTGTGCAGGTCCCAGGTTAGACTCCACAATTCTAGGACCTCCTGATCTGCAGATTGGAGTCATTTGTACCTCTTGGTTTTGAATGTCTATTTGAATTTACAATTCGCCTGGTTCTAATTTTTATTTACATTTTACAGTATTTTTGAATATATGTCTTGCAGCTCCCCTTAAATCCTCATTTGATAAGGAAGTGTACGAGTGAGAATTGTGGGGTGATTTTCTGGTAATATGCACCCCCCCACCGTTGAGCCCCCAGCCCCTTGTTGGATGGGAGTGTAAGTTCCTTGGTTTGTCATGCTGAGCAAGGGAGTCAGAGTGAGCCTGTCACCCACAATGGAGCTGTGAGAGCCCTGGGCCCGCACTTGCTCCTCTGGCCACTGCTCTGGGCCCAGAGTCACAAACTTTCTTCAAGCAAGTATTCTGAACTTCTGCTGGGAGCTCGGGCAGGATGGGCGCTAGACACCATCTAGGGTTTGCGATGGGCAGGGGGATCCTTCTAGTTTTTGATTTGTTTTGTAGTCTGATGCTTGTAGTGGTGAGAATGGAGGGCATTTTGGTTTTAGACAAACCACTGTTCAAGTTCTGGCTCTTTCACTTACTAGCTGGGTGATGTTGGATGAGATACTCAACTCAGTTAAGACTCATTTTTTTCTCCTCTAGAAATTAAATATAATGGTAGCATTTTGCAGGGATTAAGGATCATTGTAAAAGTGCACAGCATAGGGCAGGGACTTTATATTCCCATTTACTATTACTTTCCCCGAACTCAAGCTATCTTTCCTTTCCCTGACTTTCCAGAAGCTTCTGGAATGAGAACAGGAAAAGGAAATCTTTTACACATACCTGCGAGCCGGGAGTGGGTCCAGAGCTCACTGACAGAGTCATTGGGCCGGCTGTAGATTTTGTCCAACAGAACTGGAGGGCCTTCATCGAAGAAGTAGGAGCACAGGGCAGAGATGGAGGAAGTGGGGCCGCCAATGTTGAATCTGAGGGAAGGGAAGGAGGAACCACTAGGGAGGAGTTCACAGGGAGGTCCTCAGTTCCCCTTTGAAGAGCCTGGGATCTTTGCCTTGAGGAGGACACTAATCCCAGGCAGCCTCAGTGCCCCATCCTAGTGCCCCATCTTCCTCCTGCAGAATTCCTTAGTTGATATTTCCCAGCATATAAATCTTGAGAATAGGAGACTTTGTGGTCAAATTTGTGTAGAAAATATTGAATGCCATAACTACCCCTTCTGATCAAATATTAATACATTATGTGGTATATACTGTAGAAATTATATTAAAGGCTCTGACAAGTCATGCAGTTGTGAAATTTTTTATAAATTTTCCCCACTTACTGATTTCGGACGGCTCTCCTGCACCCCTGCTGCCTGTGAGGATGCAGCCTTCCCCAGCTGTATTCTCCATAATTCTACAAAACCCACTGGACATTTTTGTTGTTGTGTCCTCATGGGGCACTTAGTGTAGCGGAGTGCTCAGAACTGTGGAACTATATTGGGCGGGGCGATGGGGTGGGGGAGGGGAGAGCCTGTGCCTATCCTAGGACATGCACAGGGTGAACTACTTGGGCCTCTGTCTTCTTATTTGTGAACAAGAAATGTGGGCTGGTAATATGTGAGGAGTCTCTTCTGGTTGATGGTCTAGGATGGCCCGATGGGGCTTAGGACAGGGTTTAGGGCCTGTTACCTCAGCATCTGAACCTCCCCCAACCTCTGGGTGGAAGAGTCTTTAAACAAAGCACACCTGTAGGCTGGGCCACTTCCTTTTACAAATGTGGTCTCACAGTTCATCATAAAGGGACTTAGCCTGAGCAGCATCT